GGTGCAGCTAGCCCTGTAACTGGGACAGATGGGACAGAGGGGGGTTGGCACGTCTGGGGAAAACTCAACTAGAAAAGTACCAGGATTGTCCATTCATGCTTCAGGCAACACCTTGTCTTTCACCTTTTTCCTACCTCATGTTACCCAACTTCCAGAGCGGGGTCAGCTCCTGTATGGACTGGCTTGGTTGGTCCCATGTTGAAGCACCAGATTCTGATAGGTACTTGGGATTGGAATCATACCCTTTAGGAGCCTATTGGGAGCTAGAATTTCCTATAAGTGAAGGACTCGGAAGTCAGAATATTTCTATATTGTCAGTGAATGCATAACATCCCCCACCCACCATGCATCGTCCATAGAGTTTGAACTCAGGCCTTTCAGCACAGACCTCTGTCACCTGAGAAGTGAGATAAAGGAGGAAGCACATTCGCTACCAGGAACATAAAAATTGCCAGAATGGATCAGACCTATCGTCCATCTATTCCTGTATCTTGTCTCCAACAGTGACTGGCATGAAGTGCTTTAGAGGAAGGAGCAAGGAACCCCGCAGTAGATACATGTGGGATTATTTACTCACTAGGGAAGTCCCCTTCTAGCCCCTAATAATTAGAGATAGGCTTACTCCCTAAAGCAGGATTTATAATTTAGAATTAACTGTTACAATACAGAATATTCTTGATAGCCTCCAGTCCCTCTTTGAATCTAGCAAAATTCTTGACCTTGACTATGTCCTGTGGCAGAGAGTTCCACAGTGGAATCACACACTGAGTGAAAGTGTTTCCTTTCATCGGTTTTGAATTTGCTGCCTTTTCGTTCAGTTGAACATCCCCTGCCAGCTCTTACATGCTAGGTGGGGCAGGCACTAGAAAGACCTCCCCAGTGCATTACATATGCAGGGCAAGTGGAGTCCCAGGCTGGGCCTTACTACTCTCAGGAACATCAAATGCTGCCCATGATGTGGTGAGACCAAGAGCCCAGTAATCGCTGTGGCCATCTGGCTCCCAGCGCCCGTCGCTCAGGTCCCCTTATGCAGTCAGCTGCGGAAGAATTCATTCCGACAAGCCGTTGCTGCGACCTGTTCCTGTCCATTTCCAGCCTGGGGCTCAGGCCATGATTGATACAGGACATGGGTGCTGTTCACTGTTCTGCCCAGACCTGCCAAGCCACATGCCCAGGTCCTGCTGGATCTTCATACCCACAGCTTTGTGTTGGTTGCTGCTCCTCCCTGGATGCTGTGGTGCTCCCCTCCCATGGCTCCCTGCAGCCCCAGAGGGGACAGCGCCTTGCAGCCAGGGGATGGGCTGGAGGCAGGGGTTGTATCCCTGAGGGAAGGGGACCCACTCGCTGTAAAAGCTATTGTGGGGGTCCCCCTACATGGGGCCGGGCTCCTGCTCTCCTCGGGGGACTCGCTGTCATGGGCAAGGAGAGTCACGGGAGGTGCCTAGCAGCTTGGCCTGCCCTACAGGGGCTGTCCCATGGGAGGATCGGAGAATAGGAAAATGTGGCTGATCTCTACCCCGAAGGTGACTGCGGGGGATGCAAACCGAGCTCTGCCCCCAGGGAGGGGATGCGGGGGCCAAGCTCTGCCCCCAGGGGGTGGGATGGAGGGAATGGGGATGCTGAGCTCTGCTGGGGGGGGGGAGGGGCAATGGGGTGGCCGAGCTCTGTCCCTGTGGGAGCTGGGAGCAATGGGGAGGCCTGGGGGGGCAAGGGCAATTGGGGGCCAAGCTCTGTCCCGGGGGGGGGGGGATAGAGACAAT